GGACGTGATTTGATAGGTTTCGGCATCAGTTGTGAAAGTTTAAAGTTTCGAAGTTCATTGATTTTGAATTGAGGTGAGATTCGTCGTTTCGATATTGTTAGGTGTGATTTGAGGCCTCGAATAGGTCTATATTATGTTATGGGACTTGTTGGTATGTTCGGATGGGGTCCCGAGGGGATCAGGTGAATTTCAGATTGATTTCAGATTTTTTTCATGTTGTTATTGCTGGTTGTTGCTGGTTCTGGTGTGACCGCACCTGCGGTTGAATTTGCGCAGGTGCGATGGTCGTTGAAGCGACAGAGAAGTCGTAGGAGCGAAGGCCGTAGAAGCGGAAGCCAGGGCGCATATGCGCATGCGCAGAAGCGGCCAATGCGGGCAGAAGCATGATAGCAAATGCGGTTTGGGCGCCGCAGAAGTGACCACACTCGCATGTGCGGGATTCATCCGCAGAAGCGAGGGGCGCAGATGCGGAAGTTGCTGGACAGAATCCTTTAAGTTCGAGGGTTCGTGATTTTTCACCCATTTTCGGATTTTGGAGCTCGGTTTGGGTAATTTTGGAGAGGAATATTTCATCATAACTTGGGGTAAGTGTTCTTGACTCCCTTGTGATTATATTCCATGAATTAATCTTCATTTTCGGCTTAAGATTATTGATTTTTCGAGAGAAATTGGAGGAATTTTCTACAATCTCATAAAATAAATTTTCGAGATTTGAAAATCGATTCAGAGTCAGATTTGAGTGAAATTAGTATGGTTGAACTTATAATTGGATGGGCTGTCGGATTTTGTGAGTTTCGTCGGGTTCTGAAATATGGGCCTCGTGGGCGATTTTTGGAGTGTAATTTCAGATTTTATTGGGAAAAATTAGTATTTTGATATGGAATTAATTTCTATAATTTGTGTTGACTGAATCAAATTAATTGTGACTAGATTCGAGCCGTTCAGAAGTTGATACGCGCAGAATGGGATTTCTGGAGAATTGTTTATCTTTCTTGACATTGAATTCGTCTTGTTCGAGGTAAGTAACTCTTCTAATCTTGGAGCTGAGGGTATGAACCCTGAATATATGTATTATGTGAATTGTTGGAAGGTGACACACATGCTAGGTGACGGGCGTGTGGGCGTGCACCATAGAAATTGTGACGTAATTGGTTCCGTGGAATTTTGTAGTCATAATCTTGGCGTTTTCTTTGTAGTTTTATGTGTTAAAGAAATTGAACTGAGAATCATATTAAAAATCATGCTGAGGCTATGTGCCAGTATTGTTGAGACCCACAAAGGTCATATTGCTGTTGAATTATTTGTTTAAATTGAAATTTCATACTCAGTCATATTAATTTCATTGCATATCATATCTCAGTCTCTATTGTTCTTTATTGATGCATCATATCATTGTTTTGGGCTAGTATCATGACATTGTGAGCCGCAACGGTTATACTGATTTATGACTAGAGAGAGACTAGAGAGATTGATGATTGAGTGAAGGCGAGTGCCTGATTATGAGTGACATTATGGGATCGGGCTGCACGCTGCAGCAGTTATACTAATTTATGATAGCGCTTGGGCTGAAGGAACCCCTCCGGAGTCTGCACACATCTCCAGTGAGTGCGACTGATATTATTAAGGGATGGATCTTCCCTGGATATGGATCTTGTCCGAAGCATTATATACCTGGAGATGGATCTTCTCAATGGGCTAGATTGGCCTATTGTTATGGATTGTTGTTGATTATTGGTTTTGGATCCGACCTTGGTACAAGCTCGTCATTACTTTCAATCTAAGGTTAGGTTTGTTACTTATTGAGTACATGGAGTCGGTTGTACTCATACTACACTTCTGCACCTTGTGTTCAGATGTTGCTGTGTTCGTTGGGAGCTGGATCTGAAGATGTACCTGTGTTCCGGTTGTAGCTGCCCCTTTCTCATGGTAGCCTTAGATTCATAAAACCCGGTTTATGTAATTTTCAAACAGATGATGTATTTACTTCATACCAGCTTTGTAAACTTTATTCTTAGAAATTCATGATTTGCACTACCAGTTCTTGTGGAATGTATAAGATTAAGATATTTCTTTACTTAAATTGATTTATTAATTTTTATTGGAATTGGTTAGTGGTTAATTGGCTTACCTAGCGGGTTGGGTTAGGTGCTACCACGACTAATTTTGGGTCATGACAAGGTGGTATCAGAGCTCTAGATTTATAGGTTCTGCAAGTCATGAGCAAGTGTCTAGTAGAGTCTTGCGGATCGGTATGATGACGTCTATACCTATCTTCAAGAGGCTACATGGCATTTAGGATATATATTTTCCATCTTTCTTTTCTTATCGTGCGGAATTGATTCAGCTTGAGACATAACTCTTTGAATTCCTTCCACGCATTCGTATGTGCACATAAGTACTCGGTATCAGTTATGCATCGACGGCTTGTGATTCCATGGAAGAAGTGCGAGATGTGATTTTTGTGTGCTGGTGATGGGCTAGTCCGGAGGACTTGAGGCCATGGTTAAACCATAGCTTAAGCTCGGTAACTTCAGTTGTAACTTGTACATTTGGACTCATATGTCCGGTAATGTCCCTATGAGTGGAATTTGTGGCTCGATGAGCAGTGGACATGGCTTTGTGATGAGTATGATGTGACTGTGGGATGTGGTAAGGCGATTTAAATGCGATGAGAAATGTTTACTTGAAATGTAAAGGAGGGGCCCTTGGGTGCTTGATTTTTGTTTTGATGTGACGTACAGTCTCGAGTATGAATGTTTTAAAGGATCTTTCACATTGTTAAATTTTGGGACAAATTAAATTCTCATGTCTGGTTAATGAGTTTGGACTCAAATAGACTAAGTGATTGCGTAGAAATTGTGGCTGCGAAAGGGTATAGCAAGATGCCAATTTGAGACTAAGTAGGTGGGTTATCTCCTGCGGAGTAATCTATATTGGTGTGCTCCTTATAATGTGAGTGGAGATTTTTCTTTTTGCCAGCGGGGCGTATGTGCTGAGGTTTGAATTTGAATCTGGTTGAGAAGGTTGATTTGAGCGTCAAGAAAATGAATACGAGCTTAGTGGATGATTGAGGTATTTTTAGGGTTGGCGTTGTATGAACTTGAGAAGAATATTCGTTCAACTGACTATGGTATTATGGCAGTAATAGAGTATGGGTATTGTGAGTTATGGAATATTTTGTTCTATGGCTTTGAGCCAAGTGGGGGAGCCTGTTGCCGACGGTTTAATTTCATGGTTATATGCAAAACTTTAGTTTTGGTTTGAGGCATACTTGTAGGTTAGTTATAAATTGCAGAGGTTGAGATCGAGAAAGACTAGAATAATGAAATTTCCTGAATACTGATTATATTGCGCTTTATGAGTATATGAAAGTCATGGGATGAGTGAGTTATTATTAGGGAATGATGCAGTGCATACAAAGTATGAATTTGATCGGTGGTGTTAAGGCAGGATTACCTGTGTTGTTGTGCTAATGTAGCACTTATCTTTCAGCCCGTTTGGACGGTGCAATTTTCAGATTTGAGCAAAATGGGTGACTCTCGAGGAGGTGCTAATGGATTCAAAAATATATAAGTTAAATTGAAAAATTTTCGGATTAATATATCACTAGAATCAGTTATTTACATTGAAAGGTGTCGAGACTTGCGATAATTCTGTATGACTATGGATTCTACATTGCAGTATTAGAAAAGCGAAGAGGAATAATTTTAAATTTACATAAGGTCTTTCAGAGTGGATGTCTCGGTTGTGGTGCTTTTGGGGTACTTAAGAGAGAATTCAGCGGCTTATGGGCCTTAGGGCGTTGTGGTTCTATGCTAGGATTCGTGGGGTGAGTTGTGGTTAAAGATCGTGGTATTTTAGCAAGGAGAAGTATCAATTTGAAGACAAATTCGGAAGAGACTCGGAGAAATAGGACAGCTGGTAGCAGGTTGGATCAGTATGGTAATGGATATAATCGGTTCTTTTGGTGCTTATGATGTGGGGGTTTTCTAGATCGTTTAAGTTATTTGATTCTAAATTAATAATTTATACATATTCAATAGATCTCTTATGACAAATATAAGGTTTGAACAAAAACTACTGGGGGTGGTCGAACCTGTAGCTCGTGTTCTAACTCCGCACCTGGGTACGATCCTTCTCCGAAACCAGGGGCGGAGCCAGAGTGCCGACTGCGAGTTTGGCAGAACTCAGTAACTTTGATTCAAATTGTGTATTCATCTTAAAAAGTTCATTGAATATGTACGAATTATTAATTTAAAACCCAGTAACTTAGAATGATTAGATTTCTGAATTCATAAGCTTGAAATCTTGGCTACACCTCTGCCCGAACCTTGCGTAAATGAGGGATATTTCGAATTGTACTTTTAATTTGTATCTTATTCTTTTTCACTAGCTACTCCATAAGCAAATATATAATTCCATTTGCCTTAATTTATATGTCTTACTTTGCTTTTTAGTATATCCCAAAAAGAATATCACACTTTCTTATTTATAAATAATTTAACTTTAAACTTCATACTTTACTCTTTATGAAATGATTTGCAACCACACAAATATCTATGCTTTGTTTTAGACCACAAATTTCAAAAATCTTTCTTTCTTTCTTTCTTAAATTTCGTATCAAGTCAAACACCACTTATATAAATTGAGACGAATGGAGTATTATTTTGGTAAATAATCTAACAGGTATATATCTAGGTTCCCCCTTTTAAAATTATATTAGATAATGGAGTATATGCAGAAAGTCAAAGAATTTTTACACTCTCAGCTCATGTTATATATATATATATATATATATATATATAGGTAACCATTAATACATGCATAAAAGGTGAGATTAATAAGTTGAAAAATAAAGAATATTATATGCTATAAATTAAAATACACTAATAATAGTAACTTTATTTACATATTTGATCAGTATATAAAAGTTAAATTATTTTCTTAATTTGGCATTGTTTTCAAGATATTTGAAATACTCTATGCGTTTTTGGAAGGCTATGGTGGATCCAGATGCTCCAACCCCAAGCAACCCAAACCCGAGGGAGTATCTGCACTGGTAAGTCTAGCTTATAGCTATGATCCATCTTGTATTTATTTTTTCTCTTCTTTTTCTTGCACGTATGCCAAAAGAAAAACAAATTCTTAGCTTTGGCATGATATCACACTTTAAATTAGAAAATTCGGTAAAGGTGTTCAAGATTTAATATATATACCCCATCTGTTTCAATTTATGTGAATCTATTTCCTTTTTAGTCCATACCAAAAAGAATGACTCATTTTCATATTTGAAAATAATTTACCTTTATGCAATGATTTTTAGCCATACAAAATATATGTAACTCATTTTACACCACAAGTTCAAAAGTCTTCTTTTTTTTCTTAAACTCTGTGTTCAGTCAAATATGTTCACATAAATTAAAACGGAGAGAGTATTAATTTTATATACATATATGTAAAAAAAAAGTCACTGTTAATTTATTTAGAGAGTATTAATTTTTATATACACAGTATAATTTTCCGATGATTGATGCTAAATGGACCATCCTTCAGTATATGTAGATGCGCACGGGGGATTTGCATCTATACCTAGGTTTTGGGTAATATTTTAACCTATACCCACTTTGCAAAAAGAATTACAAGCGTACCCACTTTTCGGGTAACTTCAGGCATACGGGCCTGAAGTAGCAAAAGTTTATGTCTGAAGTTTGAACTTCAGAATTTTTTGCCTGAAGTGTAGCCTTATCAAAGCAAAACTTTAGATATTTTTGCCTGAAATTTGGCCTAACTTGCAAAGGCAATCACACAAACTTCAGTTCATAGTGCAAGGGAAAATTTCAGTTTCCCCTCACTTCATAATGCAAACTTCAGACAAATTAGTCTGAAGTTCTTCAATTTGTAGTGCAAACTTGAGGAACTTCAGTTCATAGTGCAAGGGCAAACTTCAGTTTCCACTTACTTTATAATGCAAACTTCAGACAAATTAGTCTGAAGTTCTTCAATTGGTAGTACAAACTTCAGGAACTTCAGTTCATAGTGCAAGGACAAACTTCAGTTTCCCCTCACTTCATAGTGCAAACTTCAGACAAATTAGTCTAAAGTTCTTCAATTTATAGTGCAAACTTCAGGAACTTCAAATCATAGTGCAAGGGCAAACTTCAGTTTCCCCTCACTTCATAGTGCAAACTTCAGATAGATTAGTCTGAAGTTCTTCAATTTGTAGTGCAAACTTCAAGACAAATTAACTTTTCAGTGTAATTAAGAGCTGGTTTGTCATCACATCGGGCTTTACCTCATGGGGAATTCTTCATGTTCTTCATATTGGATTTGGAACTTCTGTATATTCAGTATGAGATAAACACATAACAAGATGAACTAAAGAGTATCTGTTGCACTCTCGATGCATTTGGATTTGTATCTCGAGCTTGCAAAATAAAGGATTGTAAAATTTGTAGAAGCCCACGTTTTACCTTCTCTTGACAGAGTTTCTGAATTTAAATAGAGAACAATAACAATACTTTGTTTTGTTATTTTATGACAATATTTGATCAAATTTAGGTTAAGTTATTAATTTGACTTCACATTTTATTAGTGAATATGTTAAAGTAGTGGTTGAAAAGTTAATTTGATAGACAAGAAGAGGAGGAAGAAAGGAGCGCATAGGTCAGGAGGAAGAACAGGAGGCGTCCGAAGTTGTTAAAATTAGGGTATATGTTAAATAATTTTAAACATATGGGTATAAGTTAAACGAGAGAGACCAAATAGGACGCCCCATGCAATTTTTACGATGCGCACTGCTTATTTGACCTTCTAGCTGGATTTAGGGGTGTTTGTGGTTCGATTTAATTTGATTTTGCTTAAAACGAATCAAACTGTAATGACCCAAAAGGTCATCTTTAAATTTAATAATTCATTCTATGTTCTAAGACCTCAAAAATCACTATTTATTATTCCTCGACTCGCGTGCACAGTCAGTATAATTTTTCGAAAATTGTTTATATAAAAAATTATTAAAATGTGAAATAGAGCTTTAATAATATTTCGAGCAAACGAACCCGGATCAGTGTTTTGACAATTCCGATATGTTAGTATCGTGATTTGGGACTTGGGCGTATATCCAGAATTTAATTTGGAGGTCCCTAACTCAAGTTATGGCCATTTAACGGAAACTAAAAATTTAAAGGCTACAGATTTTCAAAATTGACCACGGATTTGACTTTTTGATATCGGGGTCGGAATTCATTTTCGAAAATTGGAATAGCTCCATTATGTCATTTATGACTTGTGTGCCAAATTTGAAGTCATTCCGGATTTATTTAACATATTTCGGCACAAGTTTTATAAATGGAAAAGTTTGAAACCCTTAAGTCCGGATCAAGGTGTAAATTGTAATTTCGAAGTTATTTCATATGCTTTGAGACCCCGAGTAAATCCGTATTATGTTACATGACTGGTTGGTATAATTGAACGGGATCCCGAGTGGCTCGGTGAGCTTCGAGGTGAGTTTTGAGCGAGTCCGGGCATTTCGGCACTCTAATGTTATTCTCGAAGTTTTGGAAAAGTGTGGACCACACAATTTTGAGTGCGGCCGCACTTCAGAGAAAAAGTGTGGACGGTAGAGTACGAGTGAGGACCGCACAATTTTGTGTGTGGCCTCACTTCAGGGGTTTTGCAGGTTCGATGGTCTGATTTCAGAGGCTTATATCCTTTAAACCACAACGAATTGGGAGATGATTCAAAAACGAAAGTTGTATTCCTTTGAATCTAGTTTCCAGAAAGGTGTCGCATTAATCATTTGGAAATTTGTACAGAAAGTTATGGGCATTTGACTGAAACTTGGTAATTTACCACAGTGAAGTGCGACAACACTCAAAATTGCGCGGCCGCGGAACTTGTAAATGTGTGGAAGCACATGAAAATGTGCGGACCGCACATTGGGAAATCAAAATTGTGTACTATATTACCAAGGATTTGGATATTATTTCACATTTTGGACTTTGCGAGCTCGGTTTGTGACGAATTTTCGAGGGTTTTCAAGAAATTCATTGGGGTAAGTATTCCTTATCCTATATTGATTATATTTCATGATTCCATACTCATTTACATCACGAATTCGTGAATTTATGGAAGAAAAATTAAATTTTTATAAAATCTTCCAAAAATGTAAAATTAAGATTTGAAGGTCAATCCGATGTCGGAATTCGATAATTTTTATATGGTTGAACTCGTATCAGAACAGGTGTTCGGATTTCGTAAGTGTTTTCGGGATTCGAGACGTGGGTCCCACTGTTGATTTTTTAGATGAATTTCAGATTTTAATCAAGAAAAATTTATAATTTTATACGAAATTAATTTCTACGATTTGTATTGAGTATATTGAATTGTTTATGACTAGATTTAAGGATTTCAGACACGAATTCATGAGGAAAAGGTTTATTTGAATCTTGAATTTGGTTGCAAGCGAGGTAACTGTCGTGGTTAACCTTAACTTGAGGGAATAAAATCCTTAAATTATTTCTTATGTGAAATGCATGTGAACGACTTATAGGCGAGGTGACGAGTGTCTATACGTCGTAAAATTAATTGTTTGCATAATTACTTGAAAAATCATAAATCGTTTTAAATCATGAATTAATTATTATATTAATTATTTCTCTCGGATTCTTTGCTCAATATCATGCCTTGAATGCATGCTATAATTGCTACATGCTTATTTGATTTATGTGACTTAACTGCCACTTGACGTTTAGCATACTAATTATTAAAATGCCTATTACATCCTTAATTTTCATAATTAATTGCTAATCAGTTCGTTAGGTTAGTTGTTTCAGAACCCAGTTGGGTTCTAGATTGCACAATCGCTCGGTCTTCTTTATATGAGCGCATCATAGAGTGGCAGTATAATGATCCTCATTTACTTGTCCTTAAGAACACGGGGCAGCACGGTGATGCCAAATAGGTTGTTGTGGGGGAAGATGGAGTTCTGCGAATGTAAAGTCGTATTTGTGTGCCTAATGTGGATGGGCTTCATGAATTAATTCTGGAAGAGGCCCATAGTTTCCGGTATTCTGTTTATCCAGGTGCTACCAAAATGTATCAAGATTTATGGCAACATTATTGGTGGAGGAGAATGAAGAAGGATATAGTTGCATATGTAGTTCGGTGTCTAAATTGTCAGAAAGTCAAGTACGAGCATCAGAGACCTGGTGGTTTGCTTCAGAATTTAGAAATTCCTGAGTGGAAGTGGGAGCGTATCACTGTGAATTTTGTTGTTGGGATCCCACGGACTCAGAGAAAATTTGACGCAGTTTGGGTCATTGTGGACAAGTTGACTAAGTCAGCACATTTCACTCCAGTGGCACTTACCTATTCTTCAGAGCGGTTAGCCGAAATTTACATTAGTGATATTGTTCGCCTTCACGGTGTGCCCGTGTCTATTATTTCAGATCGAGGTACGCAGTTTACCTAACATTTTTGGAGGGCTGTACAATGTGATGTAAGAACGCGGGTTGAGTTGAGTACAATATTTCATCCACAGACAGACGGACAGTCAGAGCGCACCATTTAGATATTGGAAGATATGCTTCGCGCTTGTATTATAGACTTTGGAGGTTCTTGGGATCAGTTCTTGCCACTTGCAAAGTTTGATTATAATAATAGCTACCAGTCGAGCATTTAGATCGCTCCATATGAGGCATTATACGAAAGGCGATGTCGTCCGCTAGTTGGCTGCTTTGAACCGGGAGAGGCTCGGTTGTTAGGTACCGATTTGGTACAGGACGCCTTGGATAAGGTCAAAATTATTCAGGATCGACTTCGCACAATTCAGTCTAGGCAAAAGAGTTATGCCGACCGTAAAGTTCGTACTATTGCATTCATGATTGGAGAAAGAGTATTGCTATGGGTTTCACCTATGAAAGGTATAATGAGATTCGGAAAGAAGGGCAAGTTGAGCCCTAGGTATAATGGACCCTTCGAAATTCTTGAAAGGGTGAGCGAAATGGCCTACATGCTTGCATTACCACCTAGTTTATCAGTGGTTCATCCAGTGTTCCATGTGTCTATGATCCTTAAATATTATGGTGATCCATCCCATGTGTTAGATTTCAGCTCAGTCCAATTGAATAAGGATTTGACTTATGAGGAGGAGCCGGTAGCTATTCTAGCCCGGCATGCCCGACAGTTGAGGTCTAAGAGTTATCCTTCAGTTCGGGTGCAATGGAGAGGTCAACCGGTAGAAGCATCTACCTGGGAGTCCGAGTCGGACGTGCGTAGTAAATATCCACACCTTTTCACCAGCTCAGGTACTTTTCTAATTCCGTTCGGGGACGGACGTTTGTTTTAGAGGTGGAGAATGTGATGACCCAAAAGGTCATCTTTAAATTTAATAATTAATTCTATTTTCTAAGACCTCAAAAAGCACTATTTATCATTCCTCGACTCGCGTACGTAGTTTGTATAATTTTCTGGAAAGTGTTTATATGAAAAATTGGTTAAAATATGAAATAGAGCTTTAAAATCAACTGAATTGACTTTAGTAACATTTTGAGCAAACGAACCCCGACTGTTTTGACGGTTCCAGTAGGCCCGTATCGTGATTTGGGACTTGGGCGTATGCCCGGAATATAATTTGGAGGTCCCTAACTCAAGTTATGGCCATTTAACGCAAACTAGAAATTTAAAGGCTAAAGATTTTCAAAGTTGACCACAGGTTTGACTTTTTGATATCGGGGTCGGAATCCGATTCCGAAAATTGAAATAGCTCCGTTATATCATTTATAACTTGTGTGCCAAATTTAAAGTCATTCCGGATTCATTTAACATATTTCAGCACATATTTAGTTAGGGGTAGGCATAATACCGGCTGAAACAACAAAAAACGGTTGAACCATGAATTTTTATTTTTCGGTTTCGATTTAAACGGTTATTCGGTCGGTGTGCGGTATTTTGAATATTAAATTTTGGTGTTTTGGTACGGTTTACGGTTTTAATATTTCGGTTGTCGGTTAAACCCAAAAAACTGAAATTTAATATTCTATACGTGCCGAGCAGAAAGATATGAAAAGTGAATGTGAGGACAATGCTTTATATATATTAATATATTGTCCCATGAATGGATACTTTGGTATAAAAGATTAATATATTATGAAAGAGATACCTAAATGCAAACGATAATTCATCAGAACCAGAATGTAATTGCAAAGGCTATTTATACTATTATATATAATATATACAGAAGCCATCTAGGTCAAGAAAAGAATTTATATTAAAATAACAAAATAAAGAAAACCCTCAACGGGTCCCCCAAAAAAGAAGAAACAAATGCGACAACAACTAAGACCAAAGTATTTCTCCACCCACCCAATAGAGATGGGTGCAGACAAACTTTTCCTATCTATCTAGGTCCAAACAAGCAAAGCATTATAAGATTCCCCTTTTTCGTCAAAATCATAACAATAAGATAATACTAGGATGGAGAATCCTATTTTTATGGCATCACTCTCCCCAGAAAAGCAACCAACATGTTTCAGCAACTTGAAGTATTAATCAAAATCTTGAACCGTTAATTAACCCAAAAATTAAATCGGAAATAACCGAATCGAACCTTAAAAAATCGCAACAATAATAACAATAACAATAATAACCCAGTATAATCTCACTAGTGGGGTCTGGGGAGGGTAGTGTATACTCAGACCTAACCCCTACCCTGGGGTAGAGAGGCTGTTTCCGATACACCCTCGGCTCCTTCCCTCCAAGAACTCCTCACCTTACTCCTGGGGTGACTCGAACTCACAACCTCTTGGTTGGAAGTGGTTGGAACCTTGAAAAAACCGCACCGAACCGTAAATACTTTGGTTTGACTTGGTTATTAATATTATAAAATCGAAACCGATAAACCGAATAGTACTTTCATAATAACCAACCGAACCGACAGACGCCCACCCCTACGTTTAGTAAATGAAAAAGTTTGAAACCCTTAAGTCCGAATCAAGATGTGACTTATAATTTCGATGTTATTTGAGACCCCGAGTAAGTCCGTATTATGTTATAGGACTGGTTGGTATAATTGACCGGGATCCTGAATGGCTCGGTGAGCTTCGATGTGAGTTTTGAGCGAGTCCGGGCATTTCGGCACTCTAATGTTGTTCTAGAACTTTTGAAAAAGTGCGGACCGCATAATTTTGAGTACGACCGCACTTCAGAGGAAAAGTGCGGACCGCAGAGGACAAGTGCGGACCGCACAATTTTGTGTGCGGCCGCGCTTCAGAGGAAAAGTGCGGACCGCAGAGGACAAGTGCGGACCGCACAATTTTGTGTGCGGCCGCGCTTCAGAGGAAAAGTGCGGACCGCAGAGGACAAGTGCGGACCGCACAATTTTGTGTGCGGCCGCGCTTCAGAGGAAAAGTGCGGCCCACATAATTTTGTGTGCGGCCGCACTTCAGGGGTTCTACGGGTTCGATAGTCTACTTCGGAGGCTTATATCGTATAAACCACAACAAATTTGAAGATAATTCAAAAACGAAAGTTGTAGCCCTTTTGAATCTAGTTTCCTGAAAGGCGTAGCGTTAATCATTTGGATATTTGTACAGAAAGTTATGGGCATTATACTGAAGCCTGGTAAGCTGCCACAGTGAAGTGCGACCGCACTCAAATTTGTGCGGCTGTAGAACTTGAAAATGTGCTGCAGCACTTGAAAATGTGCGGACCACACATTGGAAAATCAAAATTGTGTACTATATAATCGAGGGTTTGGGTATTATTTTACATTTTGGACTTTGGGAGCTTGGTTTGTGATGATTTTTCATAGATTTTCAAGAAAATCATTGGGGTAAGCGTTCCTTATCCTATATTAATTATATTCCATGATTCCATACTCATTTAAATCATGAATCCGTAAATTTATGGAAGAAAAATCATATTTTTATAAAATCTTTCAAAAAAGTAAAATTAAGATTTGAAGGTCAATCTGATGTCGGAATTTGATAATTTTTGTATGGTTGAACTCGTATTGGAACGGGTGTTCTGATTTTATAAGTTTTTTCGGGATTGGAGATGTGGGTCTCACTATTGATTTTTGAGATGAATTTCGGATTTTAATCCGGAAAATTTGTACCTACGATTTGTATTGAGTATATTGAATTGTTTATGACTAGATTTGAGGATTTCAGACACAAATTTGCGAGGAAAAGGTTTATTGAAATCTTGAATTTGGTTGCAAGAGAGGTAAGTGTCGGGGTTAACCTTGACTTGAGGGAATAGAACCCTTAAATTATTTGTTATGTGAAATGCATATGAACGACGTATAGGCTAGGTGAAGAGTGTCTATACGTCGTCAAATTAATTATTTGCATAATTACTTAAAAAATCATAAATCATTTTAAATCATGAATTAATTATTATATTAATTATTTCTCTCGGATTCTTTGCTCAATATCATGCCTTGAATCCATGTCATAATTGCTACGTGCTTATTTGATTTATGTGACTTAATTGCCACTTGACGTTTAGCATACTAATTATTAAAATGCATATTTCATCCTTAGTTTCCACAATTAATTGCTACTTGTCATCATATTAATTGTTGCATTTTTTGGAGTAATTTCTTTTATAAGAATTGTTATTATTGTTATTGCATACATGTTAATGTAAGTGACCTGCCTTAGCCTCGTCACTACCTCGTCGAGGTTAGGCTCGAAATTTACTGGGTACATGGGGTCGGTTGTACTCATACTATACTCTGCACTTTTTGTGCAGATACCGGAGTTGGTCCCATCGGCGTCTAGTAGATTTGCTCGGATTCAGCTATTCGCAGGAGACTTGAGGTATAGCTGCATGGCATTCGCACTTCTGAAGTCCCCTTCCACTTTATCATAGATGTATATTTTTTTTCAGGCAGCTTTATTTTCATTCAGACCTTTATTTGTATTATTCTAGTAGCTTGTGCACTTGTGACACCAATTCTTGGATGATATTTAGACATCGCTATTATTATGGATTATTCACTACATTTCAGACTTTTACTTCCGCATTTGTTTCTTTGTTATTTAATTAATTTAAAATTATTTAAAAATGATTAATATTATCCTATCGTTGGCTTGCCTAGCAAGTGAAATGTTAGGCGCCATCACGGTCCCGAAGGTGGGAATTTTAGTTCGTGACACAAACCATTTAAGTTAATTCTTTAATTTTTAAACCAAATCAAATGAAAAATTAATACAATTTATCGATTTCGATATGTCGATTGTAGAATACACACATATATCCCAGAAAAATAAAAAATAAAAATAACTGGCCCCTTCTCCCTTTTATGCTAACTCCTTTAATTAATTTTGCTAGGCTGGTCACAGATATCCCGGCAACCGCAGGAGCAAACTTTGGTAAGTCTTTCTTACATTAAATGTATAAGTTTTAGCGTCACAACATGTAAAATTTAATGATTTTATTGTTATACAATAGGTAATATTCAGTTTCTTCAATATAATAGTGTTATTGACTTTACCGTTATAGTAGGTAAAACTTATTAGTGTTTTTATTGTTATACTCAATTACTTTAATGCAACAAAAAATAATTTTATAACTATATAATTCTTATCCATACGTGAAATTAACCGATTGTTTTTTCTTGAACAAGAAATAGATTATATTAATGTTTTTATCTAACCAAGAAATGGTGAGAGGCAGCAAAAAAGATTAATCTTCCATATATGTACATACAAAAAAGGATCTTTAAACAAATAACCGGCGAATTTGCTGCATGCTTTTCCTGACCAGTATACATCTGTCGGCTATTTTTAATTTATAGTGTATAATGCAGGCAATGAAATTATACGATACGAGAGTCCACGACCTTCACTGGGAATTCATCGCTATATTTTAGTGTTGTTTCAGCAATTGAATCGAGAGGTTGTGAATGCTCCTGATATAATTGATTCTCGTCAGAATTTTAACACAAGAGACTTTGCGAGGTTTCATAATCTCAATTTGCATGTTGCTGTTGTTTACTTCAATTGCAATAGGGAAAGTGGTACTGATGGCCGTCACCTATAAATAAGTTTAACTTATATATACTGTCAGTGTATGAAATTTTTACACTATCGAATCACATTTATGGTTCAAAATTATAAATCTCATATTTTAAGAAAATGCTTTGGGTGATCTCATAGTGTAAAAATACCTTATACTGACGGTATATACAAATTAAACTCAGAAAGAAATAATGTCTTAGTAATATGTTTCCTCAAAATTTTACTGAATTATTAACATATACATGGATGTCAACGTGAGGAGTTTACGTGTTACAAAGTTACATGTAAAAGTATTGATGCTCATATTTATTTTTAATTAAAGGGGTATCTTATTATAGAACTATACTTCAGTTATTCAATTTTATATTTTTGGGATGTTTTTATTAAAACTTTGGAGGAACTTTTGAGAGGCTAACGCTATGGGAGTTGGAGGCTTGAATATAGTTCTTTGTTTTTCTCTATTTCTTGATTTCTGCCATTTTATTTGATTAAAATAAGTTGTTGTTATTTTCGTGCCATGAGAAACTCGATATGAATGTTATGATTCTTATCTTTTGTTAATGATTTGATTTTAGTTTTATGAGTTAGGTATATATGTAAACTTGCGCCTAACGGTTTAAATTGTTTGATCACCAATTAAATTTTATATGTGAAATCTAAATCAAGCTAGAAAAATAAGTTAATCTGAATAGACGAATAAAAAAATTAAAACCAGCATAAACTCAAATAATTGCGCTCTTCGAGAGCATATTGACAACCAGAGAAACCAAATTAAAATAAAAAAGAGAGCCCACGACATGTAGATTGTGTTAGTCCAATTTGACCATTTAGCACAGGAATCTCAACTAACCATAAATAATTAAAAACACCAAATTTGCCGACTCAATCCTCGTGTACGAGAACTTATCTCTTTATTTGTTAGTTTTATTTATATTTTCCCATATATAATTATATAATATGGTATTCGAAATTAACTAACTGGACCTATTTAGATTCATGTCGTTCAATTAAAGGGGAAGTGATTCAATTAAAGGGGAAGTGCTCTTTATTAAGGGTTTTTTCAAGACCCAATAATCTCAAAAATCAAGCGATTACCTCCACATAGACTTCAATGTCTAGATGGTCCTCTTAGACTAGCTATCGATCTGAGCATGGAAGGTTTAGGCTCACTCTGCTACCCAAGCCTTCTCTGTAGGCTCTGCCGCAAGGTTGAATTGAATTGTGAATTTCTGTCTAATACTATGGATGATGGTATTTCGTATAGATGCACTACCTCATCAATATATATTTGGGCTAGTTTGGCCATAAAGTAAGTCATACTGATTGACAGAAAGTGAGCTGACTTGGTCAGCCGATCAATAGTCCCCCAAATAGCGTCGTGTTGCAGTGCTGTCGGGGACGGATACACAAGGGTGGAAGCGGTCACCGCTTCGCCAAGAAAAATATCAAATGTTTATACTAATATTCTGTAGAAATGAAGCCATATATAATAATGACACCGCTTATTCTTAGCAGATAGTACTTATTAGTCCACTGGTCAAGCTCATATTTGAGCTTGTAAAGGCTGTAAGTTCAAGGCTAGAACTAGACATTCTATTTTTTAAACATTTTTGAACGAATATTTTTGTTAAAAATTTGAGGCTAATTGAACCGACACTTCCCTTTGCAAGAATATCCAATTAAACAATTGGGCCAAGGCTTTCATTTCAACTTATGGGAAAATGGTATTAGATAATACTTATTTATTTATTATTACTTATTTAAATACGACACCGTTTACAAAAATTCGGTGTATACCCCTGAGTGCTGTCTTCCTAGACGCAAAACCAAAACCTTTTAGGGTAAAAATAGGGGTGTGCGTCGGTCTATTCGGTCGGTTATTATGAAAGTACGATTCGGTTTATCGGTTTTCGATTTTGTAATATTAATAATCAAATCAAACAAAAGTATTTACGGCTCGGTGCGGTTTTGTCAAAGTTCGGTTAAGTTATTTTCGGTTTATTTTTTTGGTTTTAAACGGTTGTAGGAACAACAAGTATTTACCCTTTGTAGGAACATCACTTAATGCGGTTCTGTGAATTAGCAGAAGTGGTAGTAGCTTCACTTACTATAGTAGTTAGAGCCGGTGCTTTTAATTGCCTCATTTCTGTCGTGGGAATGGTCATTTCCCTCAGACATAGTTTCTCTTTGTTCTTGAAGAACTGGAGATTGGCAATCCTCTCCTGAAGGCTTTAAGGGGAATTTCAAATTTAGATACACTGCAGAATCGTGTAAGCTGTCCTTATTGAAATGAGAAATCATGAGATTTGAACCACCAGGAAAACACAATGCTTTTCGAATATCAGCCTTAACGGGGAGCTTGCGAGCTCTGTCTTTCGTGTCAACTTGACCAATAACTGAAAACCCTTACACATATTGCTTATTATCATTAAGTGTAGGAGCAACAGAGAAAGCATACGCATAGCCATTATCTATGCACCTATTTGATGCAGAGGGATTGTAGAAGGTAAATACCATAATGCATTTTGATATATTTTGTTTTCGACTTGATAAAGTTCATCAAAAATATGGAACTTACCTTAAATAGCATGCTTTGGGAATCTTTTATACATATTTAGTAATGTATTATATTCTAAAACCAGCCATGATTGGTTATAGTTCAACCCCATACAAGCATTATTGAAGGTTTACCTGCCTAAGCCAAAATCCTTCAGACTCCTTACCTCCCTAGCAAAGTACGGTTCGAACGCCCACACCTTGCAATCTTTTTCTCAGCTCCAAATAGATTAAGTGACCAATCCTCTGCAAGCAGTCGGCGACGACGAGTCGCAGCAGTCGTAGTCGCAGCAGCTGCACAGGAAGTAGGAAGAATCGAAGAACCCTAAATCTAATTCTTTATTTAGGTTTGGGAAATGGGAATTGGGAAGTGACTAAGTGAAATAGTGTATTAGTGATTTAGTCAGTGTAACCGATGGGTTTGGGTAATCTAAATTGGGCTTCAAAGTTCAAAGAGGTATTGGGCTTCAGCCTAAAATGGGTAATAACTAATACCCAAAATTTTGGTTTTTCGGTTAAACCGAAAACCGAAATACCAAAACCGTAAACCGCATCGAAAATTGAAAATTAATAATTTAAAAACCGTACACCAACCGAAAAACAGATTAAACTGAAACTAAAAAATCGAAATTTACGGTTCGACCGATTCGGCCGGTAAAAATATCTTATGTATCCAACACACCGCTTTGATTCGTTGTCCTCTATTTCTTCGAGTCTTTAATTTTCAGCACATGGGTTTTCAAGGACCATTTTTTCTTAATTAGTTGGTTTTCGTATAATAAATGTTTTTTCACAAATGTTTGACTTCATTTATTGTCGTCTAACTATGAATGGGATAATTAAAAGAGATAGAATATGCTACTTGTTGTTCTTTTTATCGTCATTAGAACAATGAATGTAGTAATTCATTTATTAAATAGAATAAAGGTACGATATCCTTGTCACTCACACATATGACCCTTTTACAAATATTATGAAATATCCAACTATGGAATACCAGCAAATTAATAATACCGTGGTCCAGACGAAACCCTAGTATTGCACATTTTCTTCTTTCTTTGTTATGGCTAAGATTTCACGTGGCAATGTATTATTTTAATTTGAAAGTGCTCTATTCAATTTTGCTAAATTTTTAACTTCTTAATGTAACCAAATTTAGAGAAATGGTACAAAATAACTAGTTATATATTAATAAAAATGACTATATAAAGATCTCTTGTGTTTTAAATTACCGATCTCTTACGTCTTAACATAAAATGTCTAATACTCTAGTGAAATATTGGACCTAACTATAACTAAAAGAACATATGTAATGAGTTAGAAAACTCAGGGGCGGATGTACAATTATAGTTATTGGATTCGGATGGCAATTTATATGCTATATATGTGTTAGAAAACCTATTAGATATGTATAAATATTAAATTTCTAACACAATAACTCAATTAATGATCAGCATGTTAAGTGGACATCTCTTAATCGATAAGATGAGTGGTCTTTTTCTCTTATATATAATTTCTTAGCTTTCACTGCCAAAAGGTGTGGTGAATAGTAAAATTCTTTTTTCTTAACCAAAGGTCTCGGGTTTGACCTTGAGAATAAAATCACCATTGATAATGAATGCTAAAAGCCTATTTAGTGAACTTTCAACCAATCGAATCCGAATTTAGTTCTGCCAATGGGTTTTAGACATCAGTAGCTAATAAATACTACTCGCCCCAATTTATATGACATAGTTCGAATTTTGAGAGTCAATCAAGTTTTTCTTTGACCGTAATTTTTTTATATGCCTTTTAGATATTTTAAATTATTAATTATTATGACTTATTGTACTTTTTACCTTAGTTTCCAAGTACATATATTATGTTTCAAAAAACTTAAAGATTCTATATCCGAATTCACGATCAAAATAAAAAAGTTGACTCTCGAAATCTGAGCTCATAGAATTGACCTCATAGGTTTCCATATTGTCACAACCCAAAACCTAACCCGTCGTGATGGTGCCTATCGTGATACTAGGTAAGTCGACCTTTCCAAAACACTTTCAAAATTTAACAGAAATAAATTAAGACATTTAAAATAATCGGAGTTTTTCATAAAAACGGGGGTAAAACCCAAATAAACATAAGTGCGGAAAAATAGTCCGACATCGGGGTGTCACTGAGTCATGAGCATCTAACAACCAATCTAGAAACAGAGTCTACTACAGTCTCTGCCAAATGCCAATAAAAGAGAGAAAAGATAATAAGAAAGGAGAAACAAAGACTGCGGACGCCGACAGCTACCTCGTAAGTCTCCGATAATCAGCTCGCGCACGAACTCAGTGACTGCCAGAACCGTACACACCTGGATCTGCACATGAAGTGTAGGGTGTAGTATGAGTACAACCAACTCAGCAAGTAACGGAATTAAATAAGGAACTGAGAAGCAGTGACGAGCTATAAAAATACAGTTCATTTCAAAAGTTTTCAGTAAAGAGTGAACATGCTTTCAAATCTGGTGGTATAAGTCAAATCAATTCGAGCTCATATAAAATAGATATGAATCTTCCAAAAATTTTACAATAACAATAGATAACAACTAAGTACAATAATAAATAAAAGCAAGTACAGCCTCTCAAGGCAGCAGTCACTCAACCCATCTCAACAGATCATACTCTCGGCTCTCAACCCTCAAAACACACTCTCAATAGGTACCTGCGCTCACTGGGGGTGTACAGACTCCGGAGGGGCTCCTTCAGCCCAATCCGTACGGACAACTCACGTGCTATAGTATCAATATGTGAAACTGCACGGACAACTCACGTGCTATAGTATCAATATGTGGAACCGCACAGACAACTCACGTGCTGCACGGACAACTCACGTGCCATAGTATCAATATGTGAAACCGTACGGACAACTCACGTGCTATAGTATCAATACCTCACAGACATGCCCTCGACCTCACTCAGTCATCAACCTCTCTAATCTCTCGGGCTCTCGGAAATCACAAAGATCAGCCTAAACAAAGATAACATAGTGTATCAACAAGAATCAAGAAGAGGCCGAGATATGATATGCAAGTAAAATCATGACTGAGTACAAGACATCAATCAACAAGTACGCGACCTCTGCGAGTTCCAACAGTACCATCACATAGCCTAAGCATGATTTCTAACATGATTTGCAGTCAAGTTTCTATAACACAGAGAGAACAGGTAATTAACAATAGTCTATTCGACTTTACAGTCTCACGGCACAGACCAAGTCACAATTTTCCATGGTGCATGCCCACACGCCCGTCACCTAGCATGTGTGTCACCTCCAAAATAGTCACATCATACCAAAATTCAGGGTTTTATACCCTAAGGAACAGATTTAAAACTGTTAATTACCTCAACCGCGCAGAGATACTACTCCAAAATGCCTTTGCCTCTTGAATCGGCCTCTAAATACTTAGAATCTAGCCACAAGCAGTACAGGATAATTAATATTGGCTAAAGGATCAATTCCACAAGAAAACTACTAAAATATGGCCCAAAATTCGAAATCGGCTCAACCCGACCCTTTGGGCCCATGTCTCGAAACCCGACGAAAATCATAAAACCCAAAAGCCCATTCACTCACGAGTCTAACCATACCCAAGTTATCAAAATCCGATCTCAATTGCCCTCCAAAACCCCAAAATTCACTCTCCAATTCCCAAGCCCTAGTCTCCCAAATCTCACCTCAAATACTCACCAACTAGGTGTAAAAATTAGTGGGGAAACACCATTATTGAAGATAAATAGGCACAAAGAACTTACCTCAGTGATTACTCCGAAATCTCTCTCAAAATCTCCAAAATCCGAGCTAAAAAATGATGAAAATGGTGAAAAATCTCGAAGTCTTTATAGGTTCTGCCGAGACTTCTCGCACCTGCGACTCCATTTTCGCATCTACGGGAAAAGCCCCGCTTCTGTGGAAAAATCACTAAAACACTGCCTCCGCTCCTATGATCAAGTGACCGCATCTTCGCTCTTCGCGGGTGCGGGAACTACATCTCACAGGCGGTCCAAACTCACACCTACGCCCCTAAATCAGCTTATGCGACCATCATAGGTGCGGGAATGCCATCGCACCTGCGTCCTCTGCCCAGATCCTCCTTAGCCGCATCTGCGGCTCCTCCTTCACTTCTGCGGGCTCGCACCTGCGGTTCCCACTCCGCAGGTGCGGTTACACTAGTAGCAGCAGCTTCAACTGCAATTCCTCAACTCCCACCAAGTCGTTAACCACCTAAAATCATCCCGAGGCTTCCAGGGCCTCAACCAATTATACCAACAAGTCCTATAACCCGATATGAACTTAGTCGAACTTTCGAATCCCTCAAAACAACATCAAATCATCGATTACACCCGGATTTAAGGTTAAAGAACTTCTAAACTTCTGAATTCTATAAACGATGCCGAATCATATCAAACCACGCCCATTGACCTCAAATTTTGCACAGAAGTCATATTCAATATTACGTACCTATTCCGACTTTAGAAATCGGAATCCGACCTCGATATCAAAAAGTCAACCCCCGGTCAAACTTTTTAAAAATTCAACTTTCGCCGTTTCAAGCCTAAATTAGCTACAGACCTCAAATTCACAGTCCGGACATGCTCCTACGTCCAAAATCACCCAACTGAGCTAACAAAACCGACGAAACTCTATTTTGGAGTCGTCTTCACACCATTCTGACTACGGTCAAAATCCTAAGACTTAAGCTTCCGTTTTAAGGACTAAGTGTCCCAAAACACTCTGAAACCAAAACAAGACCTCCCGGCAAGTCACATAAGCAGAAACAGATACGGGAAATGCAGTAAATAGGGAATCGGGGCTAATACGCTCAAAATGACCGGCCGAATCGTTACACATATAATACGAAAATAAGAAACCTAACACTAGCTAGTAGAGCAACTAGTTGAAATCTTATTTAACTTTTAAAATATTTCTTGGTAAGCTTATGGGTGGACGACAGAGTCCAGTTGACATAATTGATAAAAAATAAATACAACTAGGTCCTTGTCCTGTCCTATCGTTTTTGCATATATAAACTTCTTCTATATTATTGTATAGCATATTAAGTCGAAAGTTTTGCAAATTACAAAAAAAAAATGAGTGACCAATCAGAACCATTACTAAAGTCAAAAAAAGCAATTACACTTGATGAAACAATAGAAAGTTGCATAGGAGAATTTGGATGGGCACAATTCTTACAATCCATTCTCATATCTTTATCATGGGTTTTCGATGCTCAACAAACATTCATTAGTGTCTTTACCGACACGTTGGCCGTTTCTGAATGGTCGTTAATAGGTGCGAGTTCAATTCTCACTGGCCTTCCGGCATCTTCGTTTTTCATAGGTTGTCTTATCGGAGGTTTCCTTCTTTCTACCTTAGCTGACACAAAACTTGGTCGAAAAAACATGTTGGTTTTATCATGTTTTATTATGTCTATTACCGGAGCCATAACATCAATTTCTACAAATATTTGGATGTATTCATTTTTAAGGTTTTTAACTGGTTTTGGAAGAGCTACAATAGGAACTTGTGCACTTGTTTTGTCAACGGAATTAGTGGGAAGTCAATGGCGTGGACAAGTTGGAATTATTGGTTTTGTTTGTTTTACTATTGGATTTCTTTCTTTACCACTTATAGCTTTTGTGAATAGAGATTCTACTTGGAGAGTTTTATACCTTTGGACTTGTCTTCCTACAATCTTGTACTCAATATTGGTTCATTTCTTTGTTCGTGAATCTCCAAGATGGCTTTATGTACGAGGAAACAAAGAAGAATTTGTCCTAACTTTGAAAAGCATTACAACAAGAAGTAGCTTAACTTTAAGCTTCTTTGGCTCCTTCATTGATTTTGAAGATCAAGAACACAATGTAAGTTAATTACTTCTCATTAATGTGGTCTACATTTACTCAAAGTAGTTTGAAAGGGAGTCTTGGATTAACGGTAAAGTTATTTTCGTGTGACCTATTGGTGACGGATTCGAGCCGTGGAAGCAGCCACTAATGTTTGCATTAGGGTTGACTGTCTACCTCACACCGCTTAGGGTGCGGCCCTTCCCCGGACTTTGCGTGAACGCGGAATGCCTTGTGCATCGGGTTACCCTTTTCAATTTAATTTTCGTATTATTTTCTTCTTTAATGAAAAGAAATGAGGTTACATTATTTTTGTTTTTGTTTTTTGAAAATTATATCTTAAAGTAAAGATAACTTATATATGTTGCACTTAATGTCCATTAGTTTCTTATGTTTTTCTCATGAGACACACTTCTGCCGAGAAAAAGGTGTCTATTTGATCACTAGTATAGTTAAGTTGTCTAAAACAAATTATGATGCCAATTTGAGTGTCCATCTATGTATTTCGCCTTAAAAAAAGCTTTGGTAGGTTTCTATGATAAGCAATTTTATAAGACTACACCAGATAAGGGGAGCTTTGGAGTAATGGTAAAGTTGTTTTGGTGCAACTCTATAAAACACGAGTTCGAATAGTGGAAGCAGTCATTAATGCTTGCATTAGGGTAAACTATCTACATCACACCCCTTGGGGTATGAACATTTTTCGGATCTTGCGTGAACACGGGATGCCTTGTGAACCGAGCTGCCTTTAAAATAAAAAAAATCTAAAATGAGTTGCTAAAGCGTAGAAGTACCTATGTGTACACGGAGTAAACAAGTCCAAATGTCTGATTTATTCAGCATTTTTTTATTTGCATGTTATTTTATTCATAAAGCATGTCTGATTTATGTAAATATCTTTGAAACTTCTAATGCAGAACTCAGAGTCAACAATCAGTCTCTACTCAGCTATCAAGATGTTGGTAGAAAAGAATTGGGCTTTCAAGAGACTAATATCAGTTATGCTTATTGGTTTTGGTGTTGGATTGGTTTACTATGGGATGCCACTAGGAGTTGGAAATTTACCTTTTAATCTATACTTTAGTGTCACATTGAATGCATTATCAGAATTGCCAGCTTCTATGGTAACATTCTTTCTTATTGGAAAACTAACAAGAAAAAAATCACTTTTGGGATTTGCTATATTAAGTGGAATTTGCAGCATAGGTTGTGCAATAGTTAAAGATAATTCTTTTAAAGAATTACAAATGGGGTTTGAATTGGTTTCTTTTTTTAGCGCATGTACATCTTTTAATGTACTATTGATTTACACTGTGGAATTATTTCCAACTTGTGTGAGGAATTCAGCAGTGTCAATGGTGAGACAAGCATTGGTTCTTGGGGGTGCATTTAGTCCAATTTTGGTTGCTTTTGGGAGAAATAATAGATGGTTTTCTTATGGAGTTTTTGGAATGAGTATTGGAATTTGTGGTTTGTTTGTGCTGTGTTTACCAGAAACTAAAGGCAGAACATTGAGTGATACTATGGATGAAGAGGAGTACAAGGAAAGAATATTTGTTTGCTAATGATTATTGTAGCCGTACTTTTTAATCCTTAACTAGATGTTTCAGGTTCGAGCTCTGGGTATGAATACTTTTGTTAGGGAAGTCCCAATGCGAATCCAAATTTAGTCCGGCTCCATTGCCGGGAATGGCAGGTGGAAAACCAAAAAAGATTATTGCAGTAGACATTTGTCAATAAAAGATTATACCATCTCAAAATATGACACTGTTGGTTTTTCTATTTATAGAGTTTTGCTGGTTTTGGAAGGTGGAGTGCAGTTGTAATGAAAAGATATCAATCAAGACACTTTTATTTCTATATTTTAATCCCTTCGTAGCATATTATGTCAAGATGTTTGATTGGATACAAAATAAAATTAAAGAAGACTACATACAAAGTATCAATATTATCCTTTCATTTTCTCGCTTCCTATTTGTATCAAGTGACTATGAATTTGCCGCGCTATTTGTTGAACGATACTTTACCTTCAGAAAGAAAGGCCAATAGTCAGAACATCATTATTCGTGTGTAAATATCTCAAATTTCGATTCTATTATTTTGTATTTTGGTAAAGTTCACAGAAATGCTTTGACATATAATTTGAGAGATAATTTTGATAGAGAGATGATACATGCTGAGAACAAATGCTTGTCAATTTTCTATGTATAAAATTCTTCAAATAAGAGCGAGAATATATTTAACCTCTGTACACCATGTAATTTTCCGGCGAAGGGGTGCATTAGACCACCCTTCACCTAAGATGGCTCCGCCATGGTGACCACGAATCAACGAATTGAGATGAAAATCATAGCAAAATACCGTTTAAAATCCAACAAAAATAAAAATTACTAGATGATTTTTACCATGTGTGGAGCTATATGTAATAACCCGAAATACTTTTATATACTTATTAATTATAAAATTGGAGAATTAATCTTATTTATACCTATTGTGTCAAATACTAACTAGTGAAAGAAAATTTATTATAATATATAAAATAGTGTAACAAATAATTGATTAATGGGCTTAATTATAATTACACATACTAATTAGTAACGTAGTAAATTTTGAATAAACTAGTTTTAGAGTTCGTGCGTTGCGCGTGTATATCATACAAATAAATGTAAACTTTTTAGAAATTATATAAATAAATATTGTAAGAAATATTTTGTGTGCTATAAATAAAAACTAAAGGAAAAAAGTCATTACTACAAGATTGTCCTAAAAAATTCTCAAAGTCTCTTCCCTCTCCGCCTATTACATATAAGCAATTACGCGTGATAACTAAAAAATAATATTTAACTTTATGTGTGAAATACACAATATTTTAAATATATTTTAGAACTAATTTCACAAATAGAAACAAATAATAAAAAGTATTGAATTTGAGAATACAAAAAAATAGAGAAAAGAAAAACAAGATGTTATGTAAAGCAGGAGACTAAAAAAAAATTGAAAACTAATTAAAATCACGCATCAAAGTAATAAAAAATATAAGATGGCAAGTGGTTAAATAGGACAAAAGCAAAAAATAAAGAGAAAGAAGAAGATACCTATGTGCTGTAATGGAGATGAATGTATCCTGAGAAAAGTATTTAGTTCCCTTAGCTCTCATATTCTCTTATTCTATAACTGAGAGTTTAGCAGTTCTCATTGGCAGTCCAAAAAAGATGTGTCTTTTGGGCAGTGTTATTGTGCGGGTGGGATTAATAAGCCAAAATATTAGGAGTTCCTAATAAGGAAAGATTTAATAATTAATATTTTAATTGATTTTAAAGTTCAAAATATTAGAAAAATAACTTAAATTATTATTTTGTTCAGTCTAAAAAATTATTTTTAAAGGTAAAAAACGAACGACATTTTTCTAAAAGCCTTCGTGCTTTTAATATAATATATAGAGTATAGATAAATTATAGATGCTTGTTATAACGACTTGTCACGACCCAAAATCCTAACCTGTCGTGATGACGCCTATCTCGATACTAGGCAAGCCGACAACCTCAATAAACCACAATTTCTTTTAAGTTTGAAAATATAATATTAAAACACAATCCACAAGTCTCGCAAATACCGACACAAACACTCCCAAAATCTGGTGTCGCTGAGTACATGAGCATCAATACATTACAAGTCTGAAAAATATGGTCTATAATAATCTGAGACCAAATACAATAAACAAAAGGATAGGGAAGGAGAGACAAGGTCTGCGAAACATGGCAGCTACCTTTGAATCTCCGAAAAATCGACGGTGTGAAAGAATCAACACCCACGGTATTCGGGATCACCTGGATCTGCACACGAAGTGCAGGGTGTAGTATGAGTACAACCAACTCAGTAAGTAACAATAATAAATAAAGAACTGAAAGTAGTGACGAGCTTCTCAGCTAAGTCCAAATACAGTACTTTCCAATATAAAAGAGTAGGCATGCTCTCAAATTCAACACTTAAGATTTCACTGAAATTTCATATCAAGTTTGACCGAAACAGAAAATAATATTTTTCCGAAATTTCCAAAAATAGTGATATATGACAGCTGAAATGCAGCAAATAGTGATATCAATGCATCCTCTAAGAGTAACAGTCACTCAGTCTTCCCATTCACTCCAACCTCACAGTCACTCTTTCCTCGCAGTCACTCTTTACTCACAATTGCTCATTCTTCACAGTCGCTCATCACTCGGCACTCGCACTCAGTAGGTACCTACGCTCACTGGGGGTGTGTACAGACTCCGGAGGGGCTCCTTCAGCCCAAGCACTATATCAAGCCAATCATGGCATAAATCAATATAACATGCTGCAGCGTGCAGCCCGATCCATAAATATCCTCACAATTAGGCCCTCGGCCTCACTCAGTCATCAACCTCTCCAGTCTCTTGGGCTCTCAAAAATCATGATAAGCAGCCCAACAACAATGATATGATGCATCAATAATGAATAAGAGAGACTGAAGTAAAAATGTGCAAATAAAACTGTGACTGAGTGCAAAACAATAATTTAGCAAATAATTTCACAAGTACACGACCTCTGCGGGTCTCAACAGTGTAAACATATGATTCATAGATCAATTTCTCTAATACGAAAAAAAATATACGGATATCAACAGATTTTTCAACTGCACAGTTCCATGGAATTGTTCAAGTCATAATTCTTACGGTGCACGCCCACACGCCCGTCACCTAACATGTGCGTCACCTCAAAACTAATCACATAATACATATTTCGGAGTTTCATACCCTCAGGACCAAATTTAGAAATGTTACTTACCTCAAACTGTGAAATTCTTTATTCCGCTATGTCTTTGCCTCGTGAATTGGCCTCCAAACGCCTCAAATCTAGCCACAAATAATTCGATTCAGTCAATAATATTTATTGGAATTAATTCCATATGAAAATACATTTTTTCTATATAAATCCGAAATTTAACTCAAAAATTGCCCGTGGAGCCCACGTCTCGGAACCCGACAAAAGTTATAAAATCCGAAAGCCATTCAACCACGAGTCTAACTATACTAATTTTACTTAATTCCGACATCAACTCAACCCTAAAATCTTCAAATTAAACCAAGAGGGTTTTCTAATCTTTCCAACTTAATTCACCCATTAAATGTTAAAAACAACCATGGATTCGGGTAATTTGACCAATAATGAGTTAAGAACACTTATCCCGTTGCTTTTCTCGAAAATCTCCCAAAAATTGCCTCTTCCGGACCTCTCTTCTTCGCGAACGCGACAGGTCCCTCGTATTCGCAAAGCACAAAATCGTGCTGCCCAAAATTGCTCTTCGCGAACGAGAGACACTACTCGTGAACGCGATGCTTTACCGAGCTCTTCTTCGCGAACGCGAACTCCTATTCGCGAATGCGAAGGCAAAAACTCAAGCCCACTATTTTTCCCTTCACGAATGTGATACCCAATCGCGAATGCGATGAACAACCCAGATCCTCTTCGCAAACGTGAGACCCCCTCGCGAACTAGAAGGGAAAATTTTGCCTGCCTCAAATTCCCCTCCGTGAACGCGAGGGCCCAGTCACGAACGCGAAGAAGGAAACCCGAAAAACACACCAGCAGTCTTCAACCAATATGTCAAATCCAAAAATGATCTGCTAACCTCCCGAAACTCACCCGAGGCCCCCGGGACCTCAACCAAATATACCGTCAAGTCCCATAACATCATACGAACTTAGTCGAACCCTCAAATTACCTCAAACGATGCTAAAACCATGAATCATACCCCAATTCAAGCCTAATGAACTTTGAAATTTTAAGTTTCCACAAACGACGCCGGAACCTATCAAATCAAGTCCGATTGATCTCAAATTTTGCACACAAGTCATAAATGACATCACAGACCTATTAAAATTTTTAGAATCGTATTTCGACCCCGATATCAAAAAGTCAACCCCCCGGTCAAACTTCCCAAAATTTTGACTTTCGCCATTTCAAGCCTAATTCCACTACGGACCTTCAAATAATTTTTCGGACATGCTACTAAGTCCAAAATCACCATACGGAACTAATGGAATCATCAAAATTAAATTCCGAGGTCGTTTACACATAAATCAATATCCGGTCAACTTTTTCAACTTAAGTTTTTAATTATGAGACTAAGTATCTCATTTCACTCTGAAATCCTCCCGGACCTGAACCAACTAACTCGGTAAGTCATAAAATAACTATAAAACATAACTTAAGCAGTAAATGGGGGGAACGAGGTTATAATATTCAAAACGATCGGCCGGGTCGCTACACGACTAGACCGGTCATTTCGATAGTTGTAGTCTCATTCCCCTTTTTCTGCTCATTTTTGTGTTTCACTATTGTTTATGACTTATCGGGTTAGTTGGTTCGGGTCCAGAGAGAATTCAGAGTGAATTGAGATACTTAGTCTCTTAATTGAAAGTTTGAGTTGGAAAAGTCGACCGAATATCGACTTATGTGTAAACGACCTCGAATTAGAATTTTGATAGTTCTGTTAGCTCCGTTAGGTGATTCTGGACTAAGGAGCATGCCCGGATTGTGATTTGGAGGTCGAAAGTAGAATTAGGCTTGAAATGGCGAAAGTTGGAATTTTGGAAAAGTTTAACCGGGAGTGGACTTTTTGATATCGAGGTTGGATTGTATTTTCGGAAGTTGGAGTAGGTTCGTGGTGTCATTTATGACTTGTGTGCACAATTTGAGGTCAATCAGAAGTGATTTGATAGGTTTTGACGTCGTTTGTAGAATTTGAAAATTTCAAAGTTTATTAGGCTTGAATCCGTGTGTAATTCGTGTTTTGAGTTGTTTGAGGTGATTTGAGGATTCGACTAAGTTCGTATTGTGTTATAAGGCTTGTTGGTATGTTTGGTTGAGGTCCCGGGGGCCTCGGGTTGATTTCGGGTGGTTAACGGACCAAGTTTTGAAGTTGGAAGACTGCTGAA